AGACAAGAAACTCAGAGCCAGTGGAACGACCGGTTTCGCAGTAACCGTCTAATCGAAACTGTCGCATCCGTGAAAATTAATCGAATTCCCTTATCCGAGCATCTAATCGAAATCAATGTTAACCATTTTTCTAAAGCAGCGCGTGGTAATCGTTTCCTAGCGCCGAATAAATTAATCTCCGCGAGGCGGATGCCATCGACGATTAACGTCAGATGTTTATCAATTTTATTCATCTTCGGTAAGCCGAGCATGAAAATGCGTGCGTACAGCGAGAGCACGGTAACGCAAACGCCATGTTAAAGTACAGACGAGTCTACTTCTGTTAGTAATCGAGTAGATCGAGCGCACGTAGTCGCGTTATTTTTAAAGATTCGCGGATAAATTCAATTGAATCGAAAATCGAATAATCGTTCCGATGGTGGAACAACGCATGGCTGTGTAAAAAAGAAAGAAAAGAAAACGACGGATTCGGGCGACGATCCACCCCAGTCGCAATCCGCAAAGTGCGGACACCTAGCCGGCTGTTTACGAGATGAGAGAGAGAGAGAGAAGACCTACCTGACAGAAGAGAATCCGTCAGCTCCCCGTGGCCGCTGCTCGGGAACAACTGGCTCCCCTGGCTACTCCTGGCATGCACACTGTCCTGAACCTTAAATTCCGATCGGGCTCGAACCGCGATAATCACTGACCGACGACGACGAACGATAGACGATAGAAGTTAGACGACACTTTCGCGGGGATACTCTCTCGCGCGAGGCTGTTGACCGATGCCAGCCCGGGTACGACACCAACTAAACTTCGCGTCTCCGGCGAGGCGGTTGCTATATCGTATACCCGTGTACCGTGTATCGTATACTGTACGGAACAGCCGCGGAATCGATCGTAAATCCTCGACGCACCACGCCTGCGTTTACAGACTTCCCTCGCTCCGCCCGGTCTCACGAGAACACTGAACGCCGGACAGAGAACCGAACCGACTAACCGAGACGCGGGACATCGGCGAGAAAACCCGACGCTGCTGTCCTCTAGCGGCCATACACGCAAACAACCTGCTACCTCGCGTCCTAGCACCGCCCCACAGTGCGGACGGATCGAATATTTTAGTGACTTTTCGACAATAACCTAATTTTCTCGTATCGATGTCCGGTCAATTTTGATTGCTTGTTAGACTCTTCTAACAATAAAGTAAATACATTCTCCTCAATTTTCTTCAACTTGTGAATAGAAATAGACGATTTGGTAAGAGGAGATACGATTATTCGAGAGCTTCGCACCTCGTTTTTATAATCGTTGTGTTGAAGGTTGTCCCTGCGACGGACATAATATTTTAAATTATGGTATTAAATTACATTAATTAAATTAATATTTTATTATAAAATTATATATATTTTAATTGAAATATAATTTTAATCAAAAAAATATAATTAAATAATATATTATTATTAAATTAATAATTTAAATTATATGGTATTACTGCTGCGTCGCATCTGGCGAGAGAGTGCGACGACTGTCAACTGTCTGCGTTGCCTTTTTTTTTCTTGAGGCTCCTACGGCCAAAAATTTTGTTCTTTAGTTAGTTGCCTGCGGGCGAGCGAGGTGTGTAGGTGTGCCTACCGAACCACCACCCGTAATATCGGTTAGCTTTATGTGTATTTCCTTTCCTTTTTTTCAATAAAAAATTAACTCTGTTACGATTATTTACGTTGCCTGTAAAAATTCAACACGTCGACGATCGGCAACTATAAAAATGAGCCGCCAGGCGCGAATAATCGTATCTCCATTTCTCGTATTGTCCATTTTTGTTTACAAAGCTGCAGGAAAATTGTGAAGAATTCTCTGTACGTTGCTTTCGACCTACTGTAATTATTGAAAATAGGAAAACATTCCCAAGTGGTTTTTGGTTTTTGCGAAACCAACCAAACAAACGCGAGAATTTTTTTTTAAAATAAATCTGTTAAAATTTAGAAGTTAAAAAATTTAATATGGTGAACGACTTTTGTATTGTCAATGATAAAGTTTAAAGTAAATCTAGTATGGAAAAGCTAAACTAGTTGTAAGTTATGAGATAGATACAGGATAGATTAAATTTAGAAGTTAAAAAATTTAATATGGCGAACGACTTTTTATTGTCAATGATAAAGTTTAAACTAAATCTAATATTAGATACTGGCATGGAAAAGATAAACTAGTAGATACTAGTAAAGTAATAGATAAACTAGATACTAGATAAACTAATAGATACAGGATAGATTTAAAGTTAATCATAGATTAGATATAGACGTAAAGTCTCCGATGCAATAACCAAATGCTTAATAATAGAGATGATACAAAGAAATATTTTTATACGAGTGCAATAGTAAGGTATCTGATTGTGAAATACCTATAACAAGATAATGGTGTAATGTGAATAGGACTGATATCGAAATAGATTTTTGTTAAAAATTATATAAAACCAAAAAAATGTAAATCAACCAAATTGTGTAAAATTGTGAACCAGATTTAGCTTTATATAATCAAATAAGCGTTCAGTTCCTCTTCAATGCTTTTCTCTTTATGCTTTATCTACTACCGGAAGTCTGCTAATTAGTTTCTTAACAACCATGGCATGTACCTCTTTTCTTTGAACCCTTTGCACTCGAAGCTATTTTAATCGCAAAACGAAGACGTCTCTTTCGACGCGCAGCATCTTTATTTTGCTTCTTTGTTCAAAAGAGTTTGTAAAATGATATCTTTGCTACTACAATTTCTCGAAAAATATTACTATTATATAATAGTATTAATTTATTTAGTATTAGTATTAGTATAGTATTAGTATAGTATTAATTTATTACTATTATATAATAGTATAAACTAGTCTCTGAGCTATTATTAAATAATACTCTATTACTATTATTATTATTATATATTACTATTATTATATACACCTTACAGAAAGCTTCAATTTTCTAACAATTTATCGAATAGAAGATAACGCGAAGATTATTTTAAAAAATGTAGCGATTTTAGTAATGGATCTCAGAGCTGTCAATCGAGAAGAAGCGGCGAATCTTCATGAAAATTCAAGACTTCTTCGACCAAATTATTGCATTTTCTATGCCAAATTACCATCGTTTCTTGACGATTCGTTGAAGAAATTCTCGATAATTTTCAATCGATTTTATCACTACATAAAGCAGAATCGATTAAATATTCGGATCAATCAATTAACCCGTCGTCGATTTTGTGCGATAAAAAGATAAATAAAAGAGGCGAGAATATATGATCCGTTTATTTTGAAAGTGGCATAAGTCACTTTTTTTTTTTAAATGAAAAGATACCGTTCAATTGTAATTAGCGTTACCATTAACTCGATCTTTTTGAAACAGTGACTTATGCCACTTTCAAAATAAACGGCTCATATGTAGCATAAAGTAATCGTGTTTTATGGTTCCGCAACAAAGACGACGCGATAATAATAAACGTCGTTTCACACGTTGTTTCCGCATCGTCCTTGCACCGTAGCTGTATACCCCCCTCACCCCCCTCTCGTCCCTTTTTCCCTCAGTTTAGCAACAATGAGTTTAGCGCAATAAAGACGCATTGTTGCTACCGTTCCGCTGTTACGTACGATTCCTCGGGAACACGTCTGACCGGACATATCCCAAGAACACGCGCGCTGCGAATTCATATTCATCGACGTGCAAATTCTTCGAATGACATCATGCCTTATCTCTATTTTAAACCTTCCGAAGAATGATGTCAATATCGCCACCTTTTATGTCGGTGTGCCACTTTTCGGTTTCAAGCGGAATTCTCCGATCACTCTCGCGTGTCTACCGCGCGTCGACGAATTATTCGTACAACGACGTCGACGACGACGACGGGACAAAACGAGAAAAGACACAACGCTGAAGACGAGCTAGAAAGACGAAATAAATGATCGCACGGTAAACCGCCGGTTTCCAGGTCGGCGGAATACATACTCGCCTCTGTGAATGCCGCTCGTTGAAAACCAGCATTTAATATTCCAGTCTCGCGTCGCTCCGTTGCCGTCGTTGTCGTTCAACGAAATCAGATGCGACGATGATCGCACCGTCCGATAAGTGGAAGCCTATTAGATGGTTCACGCGTGCGTGGGCGGGACTGTCGCTCCGATAACACATCTGAATCTGATCTCGCCGCGAAAAATCGAGAGATAACTTTGTAGACGGGGAAATCATGTCGGCGCGTGTCAAAGCGAGACTGAACAAAGCGAGGATTGCCCGTATACAGGGTGTCCCAGAAATGTCTCGCAATCCGGGAATGGCGGGTTCCTCGGATCATTTGAAGCAACTTCTTCCTTTACAAAAATGTTCTCCGAGGCACCGTTAACGAGTTATCAACGAACAAACAGTGACCAATGAGAATCGAGTACGGCTGACGCGAGGCGGCCCAGCCAACCAGCGCGCGAAGCCCAGTTCCGCCCATTGGCTCGGCCGCCTCGCGCCAGCTGAGCTGGGATTCGACCGCCTCGACCGCTGGCGCCGTTGGCTCGGCCGCCTCGCGCCAGCCGAGCTCGCCTCTCATTGGTCACTGTTTTTCGTTAATAACTCGTTAACGGTGCCTCGGAGAACATTTTTGTAAAGGAAAAAGTTGCTTCGAATAACCTGCAGAACCCGCCCCTTTCGGATTTCGAGACATTTTTAGGACACTCTGTATGTATGAAACGGCCGACTTCGAGAACCGTCGAGTTCCCTCGGTCGATCGTTCGACGAAAAATCAAATCGAATCGCACTTGTTGCACACGAATGCTCGAAGGCAACGCGATGCATTCGAGCAGGACTCTCGCCTAGCGGGATCTTAGGCGGAAGGGGGGACTTTTAGGGGTCGGAATTTCAAAGGTGGTCGGTCCAAACGGGAAACTAGTTTCTACGGGACCCGAACCGTGACACAGTCGTTCCCTTTTCTAAAACTTGTGGTAGGCTGTGTCGGAACGAAATCTTGACACGGGGCCAAATAAGTTCAAAAGATTGTCTACTTACTCGGTATCGGGTACAGGTACGATCATAGAGGGTACGAGTCCGTTGTGGTCCAGGAAACGATTGATTTCCGGTTCTTCTTGAACTGGTGTCTCGTATACCAGAGTTTCAACCATCGATCCTTTGCTCGAACCGAAGGAAACTCTGCGGGACAGAAAAATGTGTTATTCCGAACAATTCGATCATTATGGTTTCGGAAGAATTTATCCATTCGATTCGTTCGCAGCAGATGCTGATATGCCTAAAAATCCTGTATAAACTGTTATTTTGCGTCGTAATAATGTGTTATGATTCTCTTGTGTTAAAATAACCGAGATTTAATTATGAGATGTAAGAGATAATTGTATTTAATTTATGAGATGTAAACATTGATGACTTTAAACTCAAATAAGAGATCGAAAGAGAAGTGTGACGCGCGTTTGAAGAGGACAAAATCTGAGCTTGAACGTAAGATGATCATAATTACAGTCATGGAAAGCCATTGGACGATTCATGCGGAAGGCACGTAATCGCAAAAAAAAACGATCGGCGTCGAATACTTTCGATCAGCTTATAGAGATAGTATTTTCATACGGTGACCAGATGACCGAGCAGTACAGTAATTTCTCTCTAATTCGCGCTCAGATTGCGCATAAAAATGGATAATTTTGGGAAGAGGATTTTGCGTCTTGTTTTTGTAGTCGTTGACAATCGGTAACTATAAAATCGTAAAAATATGAAAACATAATGTAATCGTATCTCCTCTTCCCAAATTGTCCATTTTTGTGCGCAATCTGAGCGCGAATTAGGGAGGAATTACTGTATTAACTATAATTACTATACAGGGTGTCCCAGTAACTCTGTTACAAAGCGATATCTCCATTATCGTTAATGACACGCAGAAATGCTTGAGGAACAAATTGTTTGGTTCGAAGGAACACACGTTGTGATGGAAATCATTTTTTTGTAAAGGTCATATTTTTTGAGATTTCAAGGTCATCGATGTTTTTTCAAATAGGATTACATATTTCTATCATTATATCATGATAGCTAAGATCAAGACGAATCTAATACCCTATAATACCATGACCTTCGTGTGACCTTGGGTACGAAAAATAAAGAAATTTTTAGACTAGTATTACTGTAAACGAGACCGAATAAGAGAAATTTATAGATATCTAATAATTAAAACATTTTTAGAAAATTACAAAAAATATTGCGAATGTGTCTCGCAAAGGAAAGGTTAGATTGGTTGCCGTTGCTTGTCGAGAGAGTAACATTATTCTGAGTATAGGAGAACAATTGATTTAGATGCGTTTAACTATTATTTTTAACTAATATTATTATTTATTATATTATTAGTTATTATTATTATTATTTATTATATTATTAGTTATTATTATTATTATTTATTATATTATTAGTTATTATTATTATTAGTTAATATTATTATGAACTATTATTATTATTTATAACTACTGCGACTTAGCCAGCGTTCAAGGTTGCCAAGTACAGTAATGTCTCTCTAATTGACGCACAGATTATCCACAGAAATGGGCAAATTGGAAAGAGGTGATACGATTAATTTGAGTCTTGCGCCTCGTTTTTATAACCACCGATTATCAACAACTATAAAAACGAGGCGCAAGGCTCGAATAATCGTGTCTCTGCGCAATCTGAGCGCGAATTAGGGAGACATTGCTGTATGTACTGCTAAGATCCTCGACAAATATTGTCTAACAAGAAAGAACAGCAATGAAATTATAGCGAAATTATATCGTTTATAAATTTAGGGGATGCATCGAGGACGCGGTGGACGAGCACCGATTCGGAAAGAAAAGAGAACTGTCCTGTTAGCCGCCGCCTTGCGGAAAGCTGAGAAAAATCGTTGCCGTAAACCTCAATTTCCTATCGCGTGACAGCGCTCGAAGCGAGTGAATCGGACACTCGGTAACCGCATGCAGCGGGCGGTCCCATATCAAAATCGAAATCCCGCGATCGAAGGGATCCGGTTACGCTGATCAAGCGCCGTCGAGATTAAAGCTGCGAGTCTGCTGTATTCTGCGCGTACCGCATCACGGTCTGCGACTATTTCGCGCGCCGTGTCGCGGTATAATCATCGCGGTACCATCGGATCCTTCGATTCGTTCGAGCAGAAAAATCATTTCGACCGACGTATCTGACAAATAGCCGGACATATTTACATATTTAACTACTGTCTCGCTATTTGTCAGATCCGTTCGTAAAAAACGATTTCGAGCTTCAGATTGCAAACTGGTTTCGTATCCGCAATTACGTCGATCTGGTTTCGATCGGGGCCGTCTATTTGTTGACAATTTTCTGCTCAATCGAACATCATTAATCGTGGCTATCGATCGTTAATTTTTTCAAAATTTCTTCAACGTTGCCGGCAGATTTTTCGAATTTACTTTCCGATCCGGTTATCTGCGAGCGATCCTAGCTCGAGAAGAGATTTCCGTGTTTTATTGGCTTAGCAACTAAAGTAATTGCCGATTTCAGTTATTGATGTCTCTCACTCCCATTTTTATGATATCCGTAAATGTTATATTATAAAATTATTATTATTATTATTATTATTATTATTATTATTATTATTATTATTATGTTAACATTCACGGATAATAAAAAATATTATTATTATTATGTCATTTTTTATTATCCATGAATATTAGCAACTGGACAAATTGAATGCAGCGGTCAAGGAAAAGCGACCAGAATTGGTCAATCGTAAAGATGTCATTTTCCACCAGGTCAATTCTCCTGACAAACGTAAACGCAATTTTTGTTTCTCGCACCACCACGTTTACATTAATTCCGAGATTTCCGTAACGGAAGAATCGAATTTTCTTGCAATTTAGAAGACACGAATGTTCATTGTTACGACCGTGACTTCTAACATCTAAGAGAACTGTCTTATGAAATATTTGCAGAACATTTTCTAGAACCGCTTTATCGGCAGTGAACCTTCGCCGCAGTTTGCATCACGCCATAAAACATTTACATAGCAAATACTAACAGAAGAATTTGCAGTTAGCAAATTTTATATATTGGGTTGGCAATTAAGTAATTGTCGATTTCAGTTATAGATGTCTCTCGCTCCCATTTTTATGATATCCGTAAATGTTATATTAGAAAATTATTATTATTATCATTATTATTATGTTATTTTTTATTATCCGTGAATGTTAGCAACTGGACAAACTGAATGCAGCGGTCAAGCAAAAGCGACCAGAATTGGTCGATCGTAAAGGTGTCATTTTCCAGCAGGACAATGCTAGGCCGCACACGTCTTTATCCACTCGGTAAAAATTGATGGATATTGGTTGGGAATCGATGTTACACCCACCATATAGTCCTGATCTCGCGCCATCGGATCACCACTTATTTCGATCCCTGGACAACTCCCTTCGTGGTAAAACTTTGAATGACGATGACGCTGTAAAATCTCACTTAACTCAGTTTTTGGCCGAAAAGGATCAGACTTTCTACGAGCCTGGAATTTTCAAGTTGTCAGAGAGACGGCAAAAGGTCATCGAACAAAATGGAAAATACATTACAGATTAAACTTCGTTCCAAGTAAAAACAAAATTTTTTATTTCATCGAACAAATCGGCAATTACTTAGTTGCCAACCCAATATTTTTCACGGTAAACTTAATAGTCGATACTTATGGCGCGCCTGGGCGTTCTAAGGCTCTCCGCGTGGTTGATCAATATTTTCCGGCCGCGCCGGCGGGAGTCCCGTGCTTTCGCGCCGGCGAAACGGGGTTCTGATCCGGACTAGACCGATCGTCGGTGAGGTGCTGCCACGCAGTGGGGAGATCATTCAACGAAACTGCATCGTTTCAAGGGTAACACGCCGTCGTTAACGCGTCCCGAAGATGCGCCCCGGACTGCCGCGGCTTCATTATCGCGCAGTGCAACGCGAGCAATTAGGATTTCAGTCTGAAGTTAGTTAACACGATGACCGCGATATACGAGTGATATAATCGTTCGTTCTCGCTAATTAAGACACTTCGAGGGGCTTTTATTATTTCGAGGGTGATCGTTCGGCAGTCAACGGCGTCGGAAAAGACAGGAAAAATGCTTTTGTAATCGCGATGCAATTTTGTTCCGCTGTAAATTTGATTCCGCTGCGAATTAAGCCTATGCAGTCGGTACTCTAATTTATTGGCTTTAATCCCTTAACGCACAGTTTTTTCTTTAAAAAAAGCGGTAAAAAACAATCAATTTCTTTTTATGTAAAAAAGCACAATTTAGAACATTGTCTTGGCGAAAGTATTAAAAAAATACAAAAATAATCAAAATTTTTATTTTAATTTTGTATTTTGATCCACATTGCAGAAAAGAGCCGAAGGTTTGCATTTGTTACCGCCCCTGATTCAACTTTTCTTTTGTTCCATGGAAAAAGGCTATATTTTATTCTTGAATAAACAAGTGCTATAGCTTACAATCCCATGGAAATGATAAATATCAATAAAACGATTTCTTTTTCTTTGCTTTCACATTGTTATTTTCAATTCTTGATTATATTCGAATGTGAAAAATTATAGCAGCATAAAATACAACGCCGCTCGAATTATCTCGAGTGTGCACAGTTTGGCCTGTTTAGCGCGCTCGAGTTAACTCGAGCGTACAAGTTAAGGGGTTAAGAATGCTAATTTTCTAGGCAAGGAGAAAAGCAAATTCTACAAATGACTATTGTCTTGCGGGCTGCTGTCTCTAATAAGCGATGCGCGATAGCGAAGCTAACCGGCTCGAACAAATATTGACAGAGCACGAGGAAGACCGATTACGATCGTTGGATCATCCAGTACACCAGGGGTGTCAAACACGCGGCCCGAGATGAACATTTTTGCAGCCCAGTCAATATATCCGACGCAAAGTAAAAATAAAATAGAAATGTGAATTAGAAATTTTGAAAGTGTCTCGGCCAATCAAATTTCTCCCGAAATAGGAAAGATAGTATCGGAGAAGAGAGAGATGTCAAGTATCAGGACGTAAACAATAATTTAACTTTAAACATGTTTATTACGATGTACTGGTCAAAATAAAAATATTTGTTTCTATGAACATTGATTTTTTTTTGCGGCCCACCTAAAGTTAAGCATTGTTTATTTGGCCCAAGTTAGCTTTTGAGTTTGA